TGGGTACCTGTACAAAGCATGCTTGGAAATGACTGCTGGATACTTTTTGGGTAGAAGAACAGGGAAAGTGCTTAGGCAATATATTCTATACAGAAATAGGATTTCTGTAAGTGGAGAACCTGCCCTGAGTAGTCTGGTCTAGCTTCAGAAGTAGCCCTGCTTTGAGCAAGGGTTGAATGAGATACCTCCAGCCTGAACTATTTCCTAGCACAACTTTTGTGCTTGGCTGTGGTGAGATGGGTCCTGCGGTGGGCCAGCAGCGTCTGGTGAGATGTCTGACATGGGGGTTTGGTAGGTGGTGGGGAACGCTGAGGTCTGATGGTGCTCATTCGGCTCAGGAAGAGCAGAGGCTGTGCAAGGACCAGCGTGGCGTGCAGTGCCTGCCCAGTCTTAAAATGCTAAATATGCAAATGTGAACTGGAGGCAGAGTCTAAGAGATGCGGGCCAAGGTGCTGCAGGCCATCGTGAGTCAGCCAGGAGCACTTTGCCCTCTGTGTCAGTCCCAGATGGCAGCTCCGGGGCAGGCAGGGAGTCAGCAGCAGGGGCCCTTCGCCCTCTGAGTCAACGCCGGCTCTGTGCTGGAGGCTGGCACCTGGGAGCACCGTTTGCCTGCCCTTCGCTTTACTGTGCCAACACTGACTTCAATGCTCTAGCATGGTAAAAGTGGCTGATGCGGGCACCTGGAGAGGAACAAAAAGTGTCCTTCCCCATCTGACTGTGTTGACATCTATGTTGTGAGGAGGCTCCTGCGTGCAGTTGAACCCCAAAGCTAGAGCCCTCACTGCCTGGCATTAAAACTTCCCCAGTGTATTTCAGTGACGAGGTGCCAGGGGCTGTCTAGCCAAGGTGACTGTACTCCCTGGGTTTAATTCCACAAAAGCCAGATGGCTTTTGGCTTGTCCCATCCTGACTGGACGTGTAGGACAGCTGTGCTGCTCTGGAGGCAGGCGGTGTCCCTTGCCCCGCAGCCGGTCAGCGAGAGCGTACCACGCAAATGGGCGCAGAGGCTCCAAATGGTGTGCAGGGCCTTCTTGGCTATAGGGCGTGGGGTAAGGGTCAGCACAGGCTATTTACAATCTTCCTGTTAAATCTACCCTTGAGGCTAGGGGCAGCATGAGGGAGCCATGCCAGCGCTGAGGCAAGCACTGCAGGGCCTGGGAGGTTTGTGCTGCTGTTCCAGTGCCATCTGGTGGGACAGCCTAACCAGTGCAGCTCTCCCCAAAACCTCTGAGAAGACTTTACTGCATATGCGTGGAGAGGATGTGAAGATGTGGAGGGAAACAGCTTGAGATCAAGTAAGAGTGGCCCTAAGGTTACAGCATGGGTCTGGGTGACCTTACCTGATAGCCTCCATGCTTGCTTGGTGACTCTGGTTGTTTTCCATTTTTGTGCTTTTCTTTCTACTTCCCCTGCTCCCCCTTCAAAAAAGGGAGATGAGGTGCATTCACCTCACTGGGCAGAGGTGTAGCCAAACTGAGTTCAAGGCTGTTGAGATCTGTGCGATCCTTGGACAGAACTGACAATGAAGCATGAAGGATTGCTTCTGTGGGGAGGTGTTACGTGGCCACAGCTTGTTCATGCAAATTCCATGTGCCCACTCTAAGAAGCTAAACTTCACAGCCCTGCCTCTGAAATAGGCCACTGGGTCTGACCAGGGCTTGGATCTGGCCCATGTTTGGAGTCAGATGTGCAGCTGTAGCAAGCAACTGCAGTATCTGGATCTGACCCCCAACAATTTCTGGCCTTGAGACTTGTGGCTCAGACCCAAAAGAGGAAGTGGGTGAAGGTGTGATGTTCCCAGTAATGGCATAAAACAAAGCTGTGAGATAATGCACCTGAATGCGTCCTCTCTTGGCTTTGGTTGGATAATTTGTTAATTCTCTTCTAAAGAAACAATCCCGGGCTAATGGTACATGTAAAGAGGTGGGTTGGGGCTTCTTGTCTGTTTGAAGGTTCCCTGGATACTGTTCTTCCTTCTCTTACTCCTTCCCTTATACCTGAGGGATTTTGGGAGCCTGTCATCACAGGTGAGCACACAACTTTCCCTTTCTGAAGCTAACTGAGTTTGAGCTCCCTCAGCTCAGATAGCTTTGAAACATGGTGCTTTCTGCTTGAAACTCGCAGCTCTTCCTAAAACTTGGCAGAGATATGGGTGGGGGAGGAATGCACAAACCCTTTTGGGGAGGAACATCTCTTTCTCATCTCTCCTACTTTTCTTTCCTTCCACCATGTTCTGCATGGTACTGTAACCATAGCATTTTGGGGAGCTGCTGGGCTCTGTCAAAATGCTAGAGTGCCACTCTAGGTGGTTTTGTTTGGGACACAAAGTGTTGCTGCTGACTCAGGCCTGCCTGAGGTGATGTGCTGCCACCTGCTAGACATTAGTGTGACTTTGCAGTGCTACCTCCTGTTTCATCCTTCCCACTCTTTGCTCTCGTCTCCCTTTCTCACTCTCTGTTCAGTTCTTCTCTGTTTCCCCTTCACCCCTGGATGCTCAAATGTCCTTTTCTCTGAGCTTTCACAGCTCCATATAACACATTTCTTCCTAGGTCTCCTAGTGTATCTGTATGGCACCCTGGTTCACCTTCTGTCATCAGCAGGGGTGACTGCCTTCCAGAAGAGGTTTCTTCTCCCTGCAGCTCTGGCCAGTGTTGTCAGCCATGCGTGAGAAGGGCGTAGGATGCTTTTCTCTCAGGTCCCAGCAGGCTGCAGTGCTCTCACACTGTCCCCTAGAGCTGGGGGAACTCAGCTCCTGCAGTGAGAACTGCAGCATCCTGCCCCTCCCTTCCCTAGCCAGTTCCTTGCAGCAGGGTACACAGTGGGATCACTTATTGCTAGATCCCCTCTAACCCGCCAAATCCCTCAAGAGCTCTCAAGGAGCTGTTGCTGCCTGAATCCCTTTGATTAGATATCTGCCATCCCTTACTAACCACTCAGTACCAGGCCTTGGGGCCCCATTCCCCATGCTTCAGTGCCTTTTTGTGCTCTTCCCTTGGCTGCGAGGGCTCTGCTCTCCCTTTATTACCTCTACGGCCAATTCTGTCTTAATCCCTAGGAGAGGAGCAAGGTGATGTGGAGAGGGAAGACCAAGAGGGTGGCGTGCATTCATTTCTGATGCTCTCCTCACCCAGGCGCAGGGACAAAAAGCCAGGATTGGGTTTAGGCTGTCTTTATCTGAGTGACCTGGAGGACTGCGCTAGCTAGGGGTGCCATAAGAGCAGGTGATGGCAGGACTGTTCTATCAGCAGGCAGCTAGGGTCCTATTACAGACATGGTAGAGTTCTGTAGGTGCTTTCTGTCCACTGAGGGAACTGACCATTAATTCCTACCCACCTTTCCTGTCTGCTTACCATGAAAAGATCTGCCTTCTTATCCCATGGCTGCCCACTTTCCTTAGAAGCGTTTGCTGAGGAACTTCACAGGTAGCTGGATTATTCTCATGCATATGATTATTGACCCCTCCTAAGAACTACAAGAGGCAGGATTTCCTTACAAGAGTTATATTGACTCTTCCCAAAGTACGTCATACTTACACACTTGTCCATTAACTTTATTCTTTTGTTGTAATTTCTATTAACTTGGCCACTACAGATGTCAAACGTTTAGCTTCCTAAATCTACCTAGACTTCTCCCCTCCTCCCTCTTTGCTATATTCCTAGCCATCCTGTGATTCGGTGATCAAAAGGCAGTTTAAGGCAACAGGCCACCCACTGCTATTAGCAACTGTTTCACCCCCGAGTCTCTTGGGAACACCTGGGACTATCTTGTCCAGATCTGCTAACTCCATACCTTTTGCCCAATCACTTTTATTTTGGACAGGTCCCCACAAAACAGGGTTCTTCTGAGAGAATTTCTCCAGTTTCTTCCGCTGTCACAAATAATTAATTTAGCTTTGTTTCAATGTCCTTGTTCTCTCTGACTGCTTCTTCTATACCTTGCCTTTCAGTTGTCCTCAAAGCTTGTGAAAAGGTTTCTGCTTTCAGTATCTATAGGAAAGGATTTAGTAGTAGTTCTGATGGCTTCTGCTAGTTGTTTTTCAGGCTCTTTTTTTACCTTCGCTTTGTTGTGGTTTTACATTTAATTGAGATCATGATCATTTCAATTTTTCTCATTTGAATGCAAGGTCAGTTTGTTGAAGAATACATACTGATAATCCCTTTGGCTCAATATTTTAGCCACGTCAGCTTCCTTTTGTCAAATCTTCTAAAGAGGTGCTAGGTATTGGCTTTGGGCTGCCAATGTGATGTCCCTGTGTAACCTCCATGCCACCTGTGATGACTGAATTCCCTCAGCTGCTCCGCTCCATTCTGACTGGCTTGTAACAAGTGTCTCATTTCCCTGCAGCTTCCACCTCAGCTGTGCTCGACTTCAAAAGGGGATTTTTTTTGAATGTGTGGGGTCACAACTTTAGGATTCAAGTCCTTCTCTTTGCTTATGAATTCAATTTTAACTCAACTGGTTCAGCTTGATTTTCATCAGAAGTAAGGCACATGCAATGGTGCTGTCTCCTCTGGTGTTACGTGGACCTGCTTGCTAAATTGGGTGAAACTGGCTGTGAGATGAAAGGCTTGCAGATACTACCTTACTCAAACTTCATTGACAGGTAGGGGAGAAAGAGCATGCCTCTGCTGCCTTCTGTTTGGGTCAGCTAGCCAAATGGTGCCTGCACAGCTAAAGGCAGCAGCTGGAGCATGAGTAAGGAGGGAAACCAGGACTGTTGTGGTGAGCAAACATATGAGTCCTAGGAAGGAGCTGGGGCTTGCGAGGTACGTGGGCGTTAGGAGCGTGGGAGGTACCTGGCCGTGCTGAGTGGGGTTGAGATGAAAGATGTCTGCGGGGAAACACAGGTATTGTGGGAGGATGAGTGTGTATTGCATGGGGTGGGCAGAACACAGGTGGAGGGGGAAGGGATGAACCGAAGAACAGCAGTGGGAATGCAAGGAAACAAAGTGCGAGTTTTGGGGGTTTTATAAGCAAGGTTTTATTTTTTCTATTTTCAGCCCCACAACTAACTGCTGGACTCGAGTCTCCCTATCTTCCACCCATTTACGTGCCATCAAGTGCATATGAAATTCAAAGCACAAATTTTACCCTCGGGAATATCTTGTTGCACAAGAGTCCAGCATTGTATCGTATGGAAGTATGTTTCAAGGCTGAATTTTGACAGCAAGCAACAACTCTGGCTGAGAAGGAAGAATTGAGCTGTCTCCTGATGTTTGAGTGCAATCTAGTGTGTTCTAATAAAATCAGCAGCTGGATCCTGAATTTGCATTTGAAATGCCTCAGCTGCGTTTGGAGATTGTGTTTCAATGGCAAAAAGTGCATGAAGCTATACTATGACTTCCTTCTCTGTCTGCTGATTGTATTTCCCATTTCTTCACGGTGGAAAGTTTGAAACCCTACTGGGCAGTAAGACTTTTCCCCATGAGACTGTGAGTCTGTTGTGGCTTCGTTGGCTGGGGGCAGGGGGAAGCATGCAGAGGGTTACTCTGACTGAAATCTCAGCATGAAATTTGAGGGCATAACTAGGTTTCAGCAAACACTTAGGGAGTCTTAATTCCAGTGAAAGGGCCGAGCCTGAAGACAAAGAGTGCTGGAAGGATGTTGGAAAGGAAAGCAGGCAGCATGCATCTTTTCAAGGACCAGGCTTCTGTCCTGCAGCTGCTCTTCTTCTTGTATAAAAATCACCCTCTTTGCACACAATACAAAAAGGAGAAGTGAAACCAGCTCAGCGCACACAAGACATAAGGAGGCTCCTTGTTAAAGAAATCCAGCTACATATGCCCCATTCTGTTTAGGGGCAGTTCTCCATAATCTGTGTTCAAATGTCCACCACATCCCTCCTTTGCCCTTTACCTTCTGCCACACTGTTCTCCTCTGTTGTCCAATGTGTGTTCTTCCTTGTGCTGTCCCATCTCGCCTCCAGCTCTGCTGTGTGTACCCTCTGTACTAGCTCCCTGGATGTCCTGCTAGCGTGTCATTCTGGTCTGCCTTGAGGAAATTCCAGCTAGCCAAACTAACCAAGCAAAGCTTCCTCCTCCTTCCTTCTGGTTGTTTTGGGGACCTTATTATGGCTTTTCAATATTTAGAGGGGGCTTATAAGAAAGATGGAGAGAGACTTTTTACCAGCACCTGTAGTGACAGGACAAGGGGCAAAGGTTTTAAATTGAAAGAAGCTAGATCTAGATTAGATATAAGGAAGAAACTCTTTATGATGAGGGCGGTGAGACACTGGAGCAGGTTGCCCAGAGAAGTTATGGATGCCCCATCACTGGAAGTGTTCAAGGCCAGATTGGACAGGGCTTTGAGCAACCTGATCTAGTGAAAGATGTCCCTGCCCACAGCAGGGGGGTTGGACTAGATGATCTTCCAACCCAAACCGTGCTGTGATTCCTGAGTCCTATCTGCTGACTGAACCCTTCTCACCCTTTTTCTCCAGGGTATCCTGACTCATTGGCATTTCTTCTCAGAAGTCTTTCTGACTCAGCACGTATCTCAGCAGCCATTTCCCTTAATTGTCTCCTTTCAACATCCGCACCAGCTTGAAATCAGACTAAACAGTAGTCTGACATTTTCCCCAAGGTAATAACAGAGGCCTTTACCAGAAAGCAGAAAAGGGAGATAAATGACAGTGTTGGAGCAAAAAATATAAACCAGCCCTTTTCAGCCTCAGAAATGGAGCCTGACTCCTTGAAGCAAGCACTGCTCTGAACTTCCACAGGCTGTAAATCAGGTTGTGATAGAGAGGTCTCTGTGTGTGCTCTTCCCAATAACCTCTCAAACCATCAACATCTTTTTTTTTATTCCACTTTACTTGTTCTCCTCCCCAACCCTGGCCTCATCCTTCTCTGTTTCTCCTTGGATATATCAAACTTCTGATTATTTCTATTCCTTTGCCTAAGGCTGCAACTCCCCAGTCTCACTTCTACAGGAACAGTTCCTCGTTTGAGATTTGTTCTAGTGCTAGCTGCCAACTGGGGCTGACTTCTCAGGATGAGACATAGCATGCAATATTTGATGTAGCAAATGCAGTTTAACCATAAGAGACAAGTGAGGGCAGAATGCATTTTGTATTGAGCTGTGCTGCAGGTTGAACTGGGCTAAGACCCATGATAGCTGCAAACCTAAGAGCAATGGCAGAATTACTAACAGACGAAGAAAGGCATGAAGATAAGAGAAGGAGAGAGAGAGTAAAAAAAGTGTGAAAAAAGAAAAAAACAAGAGATCTTAAAAAGGAAGCGTACCAGCTGAGAATCTGATATGCGGAAGGAGGAGTGCAACTTCCTTTTCAGTTGTTAGGTTCTCATTTTTCTTCTCTCTCTCAAAAGTTTCCATAGTGCCGGAGCTGATTTCCTGGGCTAAGAAACTGAAGATCTGTTCAGAGCATTTCTGAGCTCCCAGGAATTCTCGGGTTATCGCCAGTGCTTCCAGTGTTCAGCACAGCCTTCTTGGGCAGACATAGGGTGAACGAGCAGATGGGAAAAGCTCAGTAACTTATTGGTGTCTCCCTCTGGAACCAGGGACCAAAAAGGCCCACCTTTTACATAGCAAAACTAAGGACAGGGATCAGTGGTCACCCTGTGATTAAATGGCATCAGAAATCACCTACGCTGAGGTGAAGTTCAAGAACGCATCACCAGCTGCAGTGGTTGAAGGTAAGGAATGGGTGGGTTATTCAGGGGAAGGGGACCTGGAGGGAGGAGGACTGAAGAACAGGGAATGGAGACTTTTCTTTCTGTGACTCTGGTTCCTACCTGGTCTTGACAAATTGGTGAGAAAAAGCAGTTGTCTACCACTACATGAGCAGGAGACTGGAGGAGTTTTGAAGAGGGTCAAGGAATGTCTACAAGAGGAGAGGTGGCAATCTTTAGGTGGTTGGAGTTGCAACATGAGCAAACGACTACGGGGGGCACAAACAGTAGGTTTCAAGTCAACATATTTGGGGTCCCTTAGTCCCCTGGTTGCAACACCAACAATGGTGAATGGTAGAGGGTCCAGGATGAATGCTTAGCCCTGGTACAAGGCAGGCAGCAGCTGCCTCTCTGTATGTTATCTAGTCTTGGATGAGTCATTTTTCGACATATACTGAGTACCAACAATAGAGACTATGGTTTATTACAAACAATCTGATCTGTCACAAAGGTGGAGGGGCTCCCAGGGCAGCAAATGGCAGTAAATAAGCCTAAGCCCTGGCTGCTACTGCTTTTGCCTCTGAGAGAGTGAGGCTGCACATTCCTGCTTATGGAAAGAGCAGGAGTAGAGAACCAACATGCCTCCTTACAGTACAGCAGTCAGTTGCCCTCTGCAGCTTCGTGAGAGGTGGCACTGGCTGCAGAAACTTATAGCCCCATTGTCCTTGGTTGATTGAGAAATGGTCCTTGGAGAAGAGAGTCCCAAATGTTAAAAGGAAGAATGGGCTTGAACAAAACACCATAAAATACACAGAGGAAGAACTATCTAAGATCTGGAGGAAGATCCAATTCTGTGATTGATGTCTACCACTCCTGAAAAATAATTAACACACCAAACGAACAATTTTTTATTGCTATTAAAAGTCACGGTTGTAAAATGGTGCCTTTACTAGGCTTTGTGCAAATTTAAGACATGTTCTGATCAGTATGTATTCTGTAGTTATTATGCCACAAGTAGGAACACATGGAGATGTTCCATGTATGGCTCCTTGCTTCCACCCTTTGATACACGATCCTACACAACAGCAGGTTGCAGAGGGGTGAAAGTACGTGTGCGTAAATGAATGAATGAATAAATAAATGAATTATTATTGCTGCTTAGGATATTAACTTGCCTATTTACCGCTTTACCTCAGTTTTACAATCCCAAACAGAGCAGGCATCAGCTCCAGGTTATTCCTTGCCTGCTCTGAGGCATGAGTCATGGAAATAAAGAATGTACATACTCCTGACTGACTTTAAAGCTCACTGTTTTTGGTGTACCAAGATAAGCTGGTTCTGGTTACAGCTAGCATTTCTATCATGGTGAGGTGGGGGTGGTGGAAGTTCCCCGTTGTGTTCCCAGTGACCTATTCCAAAGACACCTGATCCAGCCATGTTTGCTTGAGCTGCCGATGGCAGGCTCATGCTATAGGTTTGGGTGTGTGCTCAGGGTCTGTCTTTGAGTGCACCTGTCCAAGTGATCACACGCTTAGCTTATACTTTGAATTCAGAGCAGTGTCCAGTAGTACCATTGCACACAGTGCTAATGTCTCTCACAGCCTCGTGGTATGCTCATAGGACGAGAGTTTTGATTGAAAATTATTGAAAGATTGAGGGAGTCTTGCTGCTCTGTTGTCCTTCTAAGTGGTTACTCTGGCCATGCAGACTCCATGTTGGTAATGGCCAAGCTCACCTGGGTTTTCCCATTCTGTAGCCTCTTCTAGTTGGGCTCTAAAGATAACAAAATTGGCAGTCATTGGAAGATAGAGAGGAGAAGGCAGCAGCTAATCAAACAACACATAATCTGTGGCAGGAGGTGGCAGAGACTACCGGGGTGGGTTTCACACTACAGTCCAGTTAGGGTTCCTGCATTTCCAACCAGGATTTCCCAGGTAGAAACCTAGGCATTTGTGCTGCACAGCACTTGTTGCATGTGCCTAGGAAATGTTGGATTTATGTGCCGAATAACCATCATATGCTCATCAGGTCTGTTGTGTTGTGATCATGCTGGACATGTTGCAAGCATGCAGACTAACTGTAGGAAGCATTTTGCAGGGAGATTAACCCGTTGAGTATGCACAAAATCTACTGCACTTCAGTTGTGTTGGTGAGGTACATGCATACTGGCAGTGCTCTCTGTGCCACCTGGGTGTGAGTGTGGGATGCACAGATCTGGCTGGGCACAGGGTGAACAGTCAATCTGTGGACATGCAGCACATCAAAAAATCATTTGGACTGGTCACATCTATTGTCTGAAATAGGTGGTTGGACTCCAGATCATGATCCAGGTCCTTGTTTTCACTAGAGACAAAAGCTCTGGCTAGAAACACATGATTTGGCCAGGGAAATCTGGATCTTGTCTGTCTATGAATGTTTTCTCTTCTGATAATGAAAGATGATGCTTTTTGCCC